CTGTCCTATGAGGTCCAAAGTGGCCTCCTGCGGCCATACTATGACAGAAATTTAGCACTGACTTTACCTCACACTCAGGAACACATCGTCTTACCATGGTATCAGCACAATGCTTATACAGGAAGGGGTCTTCCCATATATAATTCTTGGCAATAGTAATCAACTTCTTGCGCTGTTGATAAGACAAATCAGGGAGCTTACCTGTGGCGAGATAGTTCGCAAGATCTGCATACCAGGGAGCTTGTTGGACAAGGAGAGCGTAAAGCTGCTCGTCTGGAAAAGACTCATTGATCTCAACCTTGTCCTTAGGAATGGCCTCAAGCTCAAGTCTAGAAAGGTGATCGGCGACCAGATTAGCCGAACCTTTCTTGTCCCGAATTTCAACGTCGAATTCCTGCAAAAGAAGAACCCAACGAAGCAATCTCGGCTTGGCCTCCTTCTTTGAAAGAAGGTGCCTTATAGCTGCATGGTCAGTGTACACAACTGTTTTCGATCCCATCAAATAAGATCGAAACTTATCAAAAGCAAACACCACAGCAAGTAGTTCTTTCTCAGTAGTGGAATAGTTCAATTGTGCATCATTAAGAAGCTTACTTGCATAGTACACCGCATGTAACTTACCTTCCTTCCTCTGCCCCAAAACTGCCCCGACTGCATAGTCGCTAGCATCACACATAATTTCAAATGGCAAAGTCCAGTCGGGTGCAGTGATAATGGGGGCAGAGGTTAACTCCTTCTTAAGTCGATTGAAGGCCTGCAAACACTCATCAGAGAAGTTAAACACAGTATCTTTGGCCAACAAATCGCATAAAGGCTTGGTGATCTTTGAGAAGTCTTTAATAAATCTCCGGTAAAAACTGGCATGACCTAGAAAACTTCTAATTCCTTTTATTGTGCTGGGAGGGGGAAGTTTTTCAATGATTTCAATCTTAGCTTTATCAACTTCTATCCCCCTCGCCGAAATCCGATGACCAAGCACTATACCTTCTGTCACCATGAAGTGACATTTTTCCCAGTTCAAGACTAGATTAGTCTCTTCACATCTCTGCAAAACTCTAGACAGGTTAGCCAAACAATGTTCAAAGCTAGTACCAAAAGTCGAGAAGTCATCCATGAAAACTTCAAGACTCGATTCTAACATGTCAGAGAATATGGCAGTCATGCACCGCTGAAAGGTTGCTGGTGCATTACATAATCCAAAAGGCATTCTACGATATGCAAAAACACCAAAAGGACATGTAAAAGCAGTTTTCTCTTGATCCTCCGGTGCTACTGGGATCTGAAAATAACCGGAGTAACCGTCTAGGAAGCAGTAGTGAGAATGACCCGCCAACCGTTCGAGCATTTGATCAATAAAAGGAAGAGGGAAGTGATCCTTTCGGGTCGCCTCATTCAACTTCCTATAATCTATACATACTCTCCAGCCCGTAACAGTTCGGGTAGATATCATCTCATCCTTGTCGTTTCTCACTACTGTCATACCTCCCTTTTTAGGGACCACATGCACGGGACTAACCCAAGTACTATCAGAGATAGGGTAAATAATACCTGCATCCAATAGCTTCATTACCTCTTTATGCACTACTTCTTTCATGTGCGGGTTTAGTCTCCGTTGTGCCTGGACGGAGGGCTTGGACTCCTCCTCTAGAAGGATCTTATGCATACAAAATGTTGGACTAATGCCTTTGATGTCGGCAATTGTCCAGCCTAAAGCCTGTATGTGCTGGCGTAAGACCTTCAAGAGCTCCTGTTCCTGCGAATCAGTCAGTGTAGCAGAAACAATCACAGGTAAAGTGGAGTTTTCCCCCAGATATGCATACTTAAGGTGACTAGGCAATGGTTTTAGTTCCAATTCCGGAGGCTGGATCCGAGATGGAACCATTTTCTCTGGAAACTTAGCCTTTTCATCACCTTCCACCTGCATAGGCAATGCCTCGAGCATTTGTGCCCTCTTTGACACGGTTAGCTCATCAAGTTCATTATCAGAATCATCAAACTCAGAATCAGCATCATAATCATTGTTCAAGACAGCATTAGTGCATGATTCTATGACATCCACAACAAACACATCACTAGAGTCATTAGGGTACTTACTTGCATGGTATACATTGAATTTTACCTCTTCCCCACAGACTCTGAATGTCAGCTCACCCTTTTGGACATCTATGAGAGCACCCCCTGTAGCTAGGAAGGGTCTCCCAAGAATGAGAGGTACTTCCCTGTCCTCCTCCATCTCCAGAATGACGAAGTCGGCGGGGAAGATGAACTTTCCCACCTTCACTAGCACGTTCTCCACCACGCCTTTGGGGACCTTTACTGATCGATCAGCCAGCTGTAGAGTAATTCGAGTCGGTTTGATCACATCTTGGAGTCCCAGCTTCTTATAAACAGAATATGGCATGAGGTTTATGCCGGCTCCAAGATCACAAAGCGACTTTGTAAACTCTGTCTCACCAACAATACATGGGATGGTGAAGCTCCCTGGATCTTCCCTCTTCTCTGGCAATTTATTTTGGATGACAGCACTACACTCTGGTGTGAGTGTTACTTTCTCCAAATCAGTCCATTTTCTCTTCTTTGTCAACAATTCCTTAAGAAATTTGGCATATGTGGGCATTTGCTCAAGAGCTTCAGCTAGCGGAATGTTGATGTGCAATTGCTTGAAGAGATTCACAAATTTTTTGAAGTTCGGGTCCTCCAGGGGCTTCATCAACCTTTGAGGGAATGGTGCGGGTGGGTCATAAGGTTTTAGCTCCTCCCTCTTTGCTTTTTCCTCTTTTTGAGGTACACGGGCAGCATGCTTTTGCACAGGCAAACCGCTTTCATTTTGCCTGTGCAAGGCTGATTCTTCATTTTCTGCACAAGATCTTTCTCCCTGTGCTTCCTCTTCTGCCTCTGGTGCCTTTTTCGAGCTGCTAGGGTCTTCCAAGGCCTTACCACTCCTCAATGTCACTGCCACAACTTTAGCATCTTTTGGATTCCTCTCGGTATTAGCCGGTAATGTCCCAGGAATCCTGCCCCTGCATATCCGCCAGAGTTTGAGCCATCTGTCCCATCTGCCTCTCCATAGCTAGCATAGAAGATTGTAAATTATTGTTGATGGCTAGCTGTTGAGTGACAAACTGATCCAGGCCCTTCAGATTATTGTCGGTTTTCTGCATGTGAGCCAGAAGCAATTCTTCAAGTTGTGGTTTCTTCTCTGGTTGAGGTGGAGGTTGTTGTTTCTGCATGCCTGGAGGTGGAATGTTGCGAGCACCATTTGGGTTGTTGTTTGCCCAGGAAAAGTTAGGATGCTTCCTCCATTGTGGGTTGTAGGTATTCGAATACATACCACCCTGGCCTTGATTTCTCTGATTGTTAATATAGTGCACATCTTCCACCTGATCAGCCACCAGTGGACATAGATCCCTATGATGAGCACCTTCACATAACTCGCAATAAGCAACCTCCTCCTGTCTACCAAGAGCCAACTTAGCCAGCCTTCGTTCGAGTGCATCGAACTTGGAGTCCAGCTTAGCATCAATCTTTGCTTCTAAGCTTGCAACTCTGTCTATCTCATGCAAGCCTCCTCTCCTTCGAATGCCGGTCTCACTACCCCATTCAGTATCTTTAGAGCATATCTTCTCCACTAGTTCATATGCTTCTGGTGCTTCCATTCTTGTGAAACCATTCCGGGAAGCATTATTCAGAGCATCTCGGTACTGTCTTCTGATCCCGTTAAAGAAGATGGAGATCACATTCCAATCTTCGAGACCGTGGCTCGGGCATCTCATTAGAAGCTCCTTATAGCGCTCCCATGCCTCGGTCAGACTTTCATCTTCAGCTTGTTTAAAAGTGACTATTTCCTCTTGCCTCTTCATTGCCTTGGCAGGAGGAAAGTACTTATCCAAAAAGGTCTTCTCAAGCTGACCCCATGTTGTGATGGAACGGGGTGTCAAGTTCTGGAACCAGTGGGATGCATTCCCTAGCAGAGAAAACGAGAACATCCGAAGACGGATGGCATCATCAGACACAGCCGGGCTCTTCATAGTGTCACAAATGTTTGCAAACCGGCGGAGATGTTCATGAGGATCCTCGGTGCTGGCCCCAGAGAAGGTGTACCCATTCGTGATCATATTGATGAAGGCTGGGGCAATCTCCATGTTTGCATCCCCAGCCGAAATGACAACACATGAAGCTCGGGCTCCAGTCCTCCGATTCAGACGAGCCCTGATCGAACGATCCTGTTCAGCCATGATGACAGGCTCGATGATGCGCGGCGGTGGTGTAGGTGGTGTAGGGATGACAGGTGGTGTCACCTGCCTTCTCGGTTGACGATTCTGAGTTAGGGAAGGCCTAGGAGTTGTGGATGTGGTAGGCTGCTTCCCTAACTTGACCTGCTTCCTGTTCTGTCGGCAGGTCCTCTCGATCTCGGGATCTAGTGGCAGTAAATTGCCAGTCGTCCTCCTTGGCATGCACGAGGAGGATTAACCTGAAAAATTCACCTGCACACTAACACCCAGATCAAAACAGTTCACTCACAAAAATCAACAAAAATAAGGTATGGCAGTCCCCGGCAACGGCGCCAAAAACTTGATAGAGCAAAAGCGTATATGCCTTAATCCTATCTCGTAGTAATCCGGAAAGTCCGGGTATCGTCTCTCAGGGACTGGTACAACCTAATGATTTATTGATTCTATAGAGCAAACTACAGGTGAAAATGGTTTACTTGAGACTAATTATCTAAAAGCAAAATAAACTAAACAAATTAAGCAAGTGAAAACTGTCGGGTTTAATTCAATGGGAGAAAGCTCTGGGAGAAACACCGGGATTCACTACCTATCCTATCCAGATTAATTCACATATTCCAATCAATTTAATCCAACTCTCTACAGCCAGGATATCACGAATGTGCTAGCTATCCCTGTCGGGAATTACTACGTACTAAACAATCAATTCAAATCCTACTGTCGTAGCTCAATGAATTAACTATATAGTCTGAAGATCGATATCCTATTTAAGACCGCATAGCACCTTATTTAATCCACTGTCGCTTCGATAAGTTACTATGTCACATGAAATAGGTTCAGTTATTAGGGTTTCACTGTCGCTAATAACCTAATTAACAACAAATCAATGTATTGGTGGCCAGTCAACACAAAGCATTAAGAAATTTCATGCAATAGAGATTGGAAGAAAAGAATCATGAATCAATCCATCAAATCAAGAACTAGCTACATCCTATGGTGTTTCCCCCAGAAATTGGGGTTTAGTTCATGACGAAATTAAGATAAATCGATAGGGTTTTATTCATCATGTTCTAAATCAACAAGAAACAACTAATTTGGTTTAGGAAATCAAACCAACTAATCGCTCTCGTTGAACTCAGCTCTAGCCTTGAAAAAACTCAATCGCCGATGGAAATCGACTGATTGCCTGCTGCGCCGCTTCCTTTCTTTCTCCACAAGAAATTCGCCCCCTCACCAAAAAAAACCAAAAAACCAAAAAAACAAAAAGTGCCCCAGCAAATTAAGTTCCGCCCATTTATTTGCCCAGAGAATTCCGCCCACCAGAGAATAATTTTTCCTTTTCCTTCCTCGCCAAAGAAATCCGCCAGCCCTCTGCCTTCATTGGCCCAGCCAAGCCGGCCCACATGGCCTCCCTTCAAATAAAACCCGCCGCTTCCTTGATTCCGTCCGCTGCTGTGTCCGCCCAAAAGAAATCCGGCCCAATTTAATTGCCCCATCCAGCTGGGCCTTGAGCCCAGCTTCGAGAATGGTTTGTGCACTCGCTCCTCTTTCGTGCTTTCTCCACCTGCAATATATCAAACTCATGGCACTAGGCAGTAATGGTTTTTTTCAACCATTCTCGGGTTAGGGAGCTCTAAAATAGCACCAATTGGCTAAAACATATCATGAATAATCACATAAAGTCCAAGAATCCGATATATTAAAGCCGAATATCACCGCGCCGCATCTTCTTCGCTGCAACTTCTTGTTCTCCTTCGCCGAGACAGAGGGCGGCAGGGGGATACCGCACCAAATTTCAAGTCGTCCCCGGAACCGCCGCTAGTGACAGCGAGATCCGCCACCTCTGAACTGTGGATGCCTCCTCACCGAGTGCGGCTCCAGCGAGGAACGCTCTCCTCGCCTCCCGCAGATCCATCTTGGTCGCCTCGCCTCACAACCCTCTTTTCGCCATCGAGGAGGGTCGGTCTCGGTCATGTCGGCGGTGAGGATTATGATGGACGGAGGTGGAGAGTTGGGGTTGGCGGCCCATTTCGGGGCTTGGCTGAGCTTGGAATGTGCATATGCGGAGCTTGGTGAGGAGGATTGTGATGGACGAAGTGGAGATTTAGGGTTGTGCTCGGGCGGCAGCAGGTGGTAGGAGGGGATAGTCGCTATTTTTATGAGCGGCGGATGGGGAACAGAAGGGGAAAGAACTGAGAGGGAGATAGAAAAAAATGACAATGGTGCATATGATCCGCTCAAAATTATAGTTGTATTTATTCAACATTTAAAAAAAAAAATTCCACCAAATCATAGCTAGTTTGTAAAAATAATTATATTTCAATTAGAGATAGGGAGAGTGTAACGGCCAACGGGTAGCTCCAAAGGAAGAAAATTAATAAATTAGTATAATAGTTAATTAAGAATTAAAATTTAGGGCACTTTCAGTTAAATGGTTGATCGAGAGATCATGTGTTCTGAATATTGGTGACCCAATTTGTTATGCACATGATATTCGAATTTGCGAAAATTTTAAGTACGTATAAATTGGTTTTGGTTAGCAGGGAAGTGTTAGTAAATACTATAGGATCCATTATTAAATCTAACCCAACAACTCGAATTATTGATACTAAACGGTATTGACAAAGAACATCATTCAAAGCAAATTTCTAACTAGAGCAAAAATAATTGTTTGATACATATGCAGTGATACTCTTAATAGTTTCGATATATATTTAATTTATCATGTTTTTGTAAATACAAAGTTATATCATGAATGGTTTAAAAATCTAACAAAACTATTTTATCCCAAGTATATTTTTTCTTAAATGGACCCACACTCGACAACATCATAAGTATATTCATATCTCATCCTTGTGAGAATTTTATACTCTTGTTTATATTTGGTTTCCGTCTGGCAACCATTTTTTTCCACGCGGTGATAGCGCCTTGTGCTGCTGACTGATGACGAGAAAATAATGAGAATACAAATTACCAAGCCGGCCGCCACCCTTCCTCCATCAACTTCCCAACTACATAAACCTCTCCATCCCAAACAGTCGCTACCTAAAACCAAAATGGCTGTTCCCCACAAACCACTCTTTCTCCTCCTCCTCCTCCTCGTTCTCTTCTCCTCCGTCATCCTAGCCGTCAACGCCGGGCTCCATCTCAACCACTCCGACCACCGCGCCATCTCCCTCATCCGCCGGGACTTGGGATTCAACGCTCAGCAACGCAACACCTCCGTCCCCCCCTGCAACCTCCACGGCGTCTTCTGCGAGCGCCGCATCTCTCCCGCCGCCGACGACACCTACGAGCTCAGAATCACCAGGCTGGTCTTCAAATCCCACTCCCTCTCCGGCACCCTCCCGCCGGCAATCGGCCGGCTGACCGAGCTGAAAGAGCTCTCCCTCCCTGACAACCGCCTCGCTGACCAAATCCCCTCCGAATTAGTCAACTGCAACAAGCTCGAGATTCTCAATCTCGCCAACAACCGATTCTCCGGCACAGTTCCCCCTGGCGTTTCCTCCCTCCTCCGGCTGCGCGTCCTGAATCTCGCCTCCAACAAATTGTCTGGGGATCTGAGCTTCCTGAAGCATTTCCCCAATCTCGAAACTCTTTCCCTCGCCAACAATTTCTTCGCTGGGCAGGTCCCCAAATCGATTCGATCCTTCCGCAACCTCCAATTCCTCGACCTCTCCGGGAACAGGTTCCTCCAGCAGCTCGAATCGGGCTCGCCGGCCACGGTGAAGTCCCGAAGCTCCGATTACCCGAACCGCTACATTTTAGCCGAGGATGACGACGACGACGCAACAGCAGCAACTCCGACGAGATCGAGGAAAAACCACTCTAATTCGCCAGCTTCTGCCCCGATATCGTCGATGAACGCCGGCGCCGGAGCTCCAGGGCCATCACCTGTGATGCCCCACAGGCGGCACAAGAAGGGGAAGAGGAAGCTGGCAGGGTGGCTCCTCGGCTTTCTCGCCGGAGGCATCGCCGGGAGCATATCAGGATTCGTGTTCTGCGTCCTGTTCAGGATGATTCTGGCCACAATTCGCGGAGGTGGGAAAGGTGGAGGCCCTGCAATCTTCAGCCCGATGATTAAGAAATCGGAAGATCTGGCTTTCTTGGAGAAAGAAGACGGGCTGGCTTCACTGGAGATCATCGGCCGAGGTGGCTGCGGTGAAGTCTACAGAGCAGAGCTGCCCGGAAGCGACGGCAAAATCATCGCGATCAAAAAAGTGATTCAACCATCCAAAGACGCCACCGATTTGACTGACGAAGACTCCAAACAGATGAACAAGAAGATGAGGCAGATCAAATCGGAGATCAGCACCGTGGGCCAGATCCGGCACAGGAACCTGCTACCACTTCTGGCACATGTAACCCGACCCGATTGCCATTACCTGGTCTACGAGTTCATGAAGAACGGGAGCTTGCAGAACATATTAGAAGACGTTTCTCAAGGAAGGAGAGAGTTGGATTGGCCGGCAAGGTACAAGATCGCCCTCGGGATCGCAGCTGGCCTCGAGTACCTTCACATCAACCACAGCCCAAGAATAATCCACAGGGACTTGAAGCCTGCTAATGTTCTTCTCGACGATGACATGGAGCCTCGGATTGCTGATTTCGGGCTGGCGAAGTCGATGCCAGATGCCAACACACACGTCACGACGTCGAATGTGGCCGGCACGATCGGGTACATTGCGCCGGAGTATCATCAGACGTTGAAGTTCACCGACAAGTGTGATATCTACAGCTTCGGGGTGCTGCTCGGGGTTCTGCTGATAGGGAAGCTTCCATCCGACGAGTTTTTCCAGCATACCAGGGAGATGAGCTTGGTCAGGTGGCTGAAGAACGTTATGACGTCCGAGAATCCTACTCAGGCGATTGATCCCAAGCTGATGGGGAAAGGGTATGAAGAGCAGATGCTGCTGGTGCTCAAGATCGCCTGTTTTTGTACCATGGAGGACCCTAAACAGAGACCCAACAGCAAGGATGTGAGAGTCATGCTGGATCAAATTAAGCACTAGTATCTAGTTAAGTGATCTAAAAATGGCACGACTACTCAGAATAATGCACAAGCCTTCGTTGTTGCCGGACTCTGTAGTTACTATTTCTACAGTTACTTTGTGTTTTCCCAAGCAGAATGATCGACCAGCTCGTTGTTATTAATCGGTTCATGATGCTCTAAACTGTGTACTACTAGGGTTTTGAACTTGTAAGATGTTAAATATCACATACAAATTTGCACAACCAGATATGCAACTGACAAGATTTTGCAGCCATGGATTCCTCAATTAGGGCAAAATCCTCAATCACCCAGTAAAGCATATATCCATATTTGGGACAAAAGTCAATGTCCAAGTCGTTGTATTACTGACTAGAGACTGGCGTTGGAGGAAAAAAGGTTCACATTTTGAGTCGAAGAAAGAACAGGAAATGGAGCCCAGCACACCGTCTGTAAAATGGGAAAAGGAAACTGCCAATGAAACACGCTACCATGCTAAGACAAAGAAGCTCCCGTTCTTGTTCTTGCCCTATAGGCCTATACTAATCAGAGACCCCTTCCTAAAGGGATCTTCGCTGCCGAACTAGTGGTTTTAGTGACTTAAAGACGGCAGCATTTTCAGGCCTGCAAAATGAGAATAATCAACAATGGCCGCCCTGAAACAGACGCTAACAAAATGGGAACACTTGTATCTAAACAACAAAAGTAACAGTCTTTGTGTTTGGTGTGCCACTCGGGGGACAAAACAAGACAGGAATCTGAAGGAGGGAGCAGACCATTCAAAGAGTTCAAGTTTGCAGACCTCAGAAATCCAGGAGCAACTGGGGAAGAATTCTTTCGAAGTGGGTGGCCTCAATTTTGGTCTCTCCCTCGGCCTCAGCGATCGCTGCCGCACGCTGCACAGCTTCTGCAAATCAAATTGAAGATGGCGCAATTGAATGGTGGAATTCGGTGTAAACATCACAACCCAGTGAAGAAAACCACAGTAACCATGGATTAAAAGACCAAACCTGAGATGAAAATGCGGATGAGCTCGGCGCTCAGCTTCAAAGCATTGGAGTTAGCTGCCAAGATTGATAAAGAGTGAAAACACAACTCTTTCATCAGAATTTAGAAAGACAGAGACAGATCCACTAGTCAGTGAAACAGAAAAAAAGCAGCGGGTACCGGAAGTAGGGCGATTCTTCTTCGACGTTCCGGCGCCGCCTACCTGCACCGATACGGAAGGTCGATGAAGTAAGCGTACAGTGTGAACCCTAAATTACAGCGGCGGAAGAGAGAGAGAGAGAGTACAATGACCAAGTCGGCGTCCGTAGGAGCCTCATTGCGTTCGTTCTTCTCCCGCTCTGCAGAAATCGAAAGGGAAGCTTCCTAATTGCACGAAAACTTCACTAGAAGGACGGAATTATGATCCTCGAGAGAGAGAGGGAGAGGGAAGTGTACCGAGGGCTGTTCTCGTCCAGACATGCTTGAAAATCTCGTGAATCAAACCCTGAAAACACAGCAGGGGAAGGCAAGTGAGACAAATCGCCGCCGCAGCAGAATGAGTTGACCGGAAAATAGCTTCGGCGATAAACAAACATACAGGGTCGATATTCTGTTCGTCCATCCCTAGCTCAGCTGTCTTCTCTCTTCTGCTTCGCCGGTTCTCCCCAATTCTACACTGCTCCGTTGCTCATTTTAATCACAGTCACAATTATGATTATCAAATCACGAGAGACTTATTGACCATTCAGAAGCCCTTATAGCTCAGTGGTAGAGCGTCAGTCTTGTAAACTGAAGGTCCGTAGTTCGATCCTGCGTGAGGGCAATCTTCTTGCTTTTTCTTCACCACGTTGTTATTTTCGGATTTATAATCCGGGTCGCCCATAAAGATTCGGGTTTACCCATAACCATAAGCTGTGTTGCCCGGTTTGGTTTCAGTTTCTCTACCATCTTCATCGAGCAGAGGATTTCTAATAGCTCATTTTCTCGTTTTTTCTTCTGCAGCCGCCTGCGAGTTATTTCGATCCTATTTGCCCATCCAATTAAGGAGTAGAAGAGAAAAGAAGATCGGATCTTTTCATGTAGAAATCGATTCGTCACAGAATGGCGAATCTAATACCCAAGATCCTCCGAAGAACTTCGTCCTCTTCGAGCACAGTCGCGGCGGCGCTGTACAAACCCTCTCCGCTTTCGCCGACCTGCTCTCCGCTCACCGGCGCTGTCTTTACTCAGCGGCTCGGGCCCGACCTGCCGCCCCGGCCAATTCCATTCTTCGGCATCGCGGCGGCGGAGAAACCATCTCCTCCCTCGGAGTTCATTTACCCTAGTTTCCCATTTGGGCTCGGTTTAAACCCTATTCCAGCTGCTGGGTTCGATCTCGTTGAGACCGAGGATGAGGTAGTTGAGCATGACGACAAGACCATCCGTGCTGATAGCGTGAAGAAGAAGAGGAAGAAGAAGATGAACAAGCATAAGTACAAGAAGCTCCGGAAGCGTCTCAGGCGAAAGTCTAGGTCGTAATCCAAGGTGCTTGTGGTAGTGCAGAAAGTTGGTAGAGCTGAATCGACCTCTTTTTATCTCCCTTGCTTACCTTTTCTATTGCTTACTTGAGAACGTGAATGTTTGGTTGGAGTAGCCAGGTTTGATGAGATAGCATCACCCCCCTTGTTTTAACGGATTGGAATGGTATTACTACTGGTCTTAAATAATTGCTGGCCTAGAGCTATTCTTCTTTGCTTTCTGTTTGAATTTTCAATCTTTCCTGATCGTTCTGAAACCTGAATTGAGGTAGACAGGGTCATTTGTTATGCTGGTTGTGTCTTGAGTATGGACATATGATTGATACCTTAGGCTAAGCTCATCAATTCTTGATACTGGCCAGGGTAGCTGAAGCTTATGCATGTTCTCGGGTTAATTTGCATTTCCGTTCTTTTAGGTAACTGCAGTTCAAGTGAGAAAACTTGCTAGCTTAGCTTAAGAAGGGGCAACCTGGCTTGCTTCATTGTAGTTTGGGAAGTATGGTAGCATCATGAGTTATTCTTGCAATAGTTACACAAGTGACAGGCATGTTTAGTTGCAGACCCCGGTTAGGAACTTCTGTTACTAGGTTTGAGTATAGATGAGCGCTTGATTAATGGTCCAACACTATGTTGGAAGGTGAGAAATAGTTTCGAAGAGTTTCTGTTATTTGCCAAGATAAGAATGCTGGCTTCCTAGTAATCAGTGGAAGAGATTGTTGGAATGGATGACGGGATTTCATGTGTTCACTACATGTGCTGAGTACTTTTGTTAGGACTTAGGAGTAGCTTAGAAACCCGAAGCTGAAGGATACTGGTCTTGAAACTTTCAGCATCGATGTCTTTTTTCGGATGACTCTGAAGGAGACGTAGTCGCTAAGCTGGCTACTTATTGTGAAAACATTAGAAGTCTGAAGCGGAGCATATTCTTACCTTCTGCTTTGTTCTTTCTGTTCAAGTAACTGATTGTTTGCAAAGTTAAGGTTCTATTATTTAGGTTCAGAGTGTGCAGTTGCGATTCAAAGGATACTGTTTCTGCACCTAGTATTGGAGAGTAGGAATCTGTTCAGGACAAATGTATAAATCCCACCCCATGTTGGCCACTATTAATGCAATTTAGGAGCATGAATACAAGGTGCTTATATCATTTGCTTCTCTCAGCCAGACTCCCCCTTCTTAACAAATCTATTTCAGGCATGAAAACATTAGAGCTATTTTGTTTTCCAGTGACAGTTAGGAGTACACTAACGCCAGAGATAGTCATAGACATGAGTTAATAAAAGTGATAGTAAAGTAAGAAGTGGTAAGGGTGGACTGGTCACGATCTGCAGAATGAAACTAGATGCCCAAGTCTTTGCTTGAGAGTTGAGACAGCAACCCTAAACCCTAAATCTCCTCTTAGTTTATCTGGTTGCTCACTGCTTGCAGCATATGTCAGTAAAATTGAAGATGTGGCCATTGCCAGGGTTATGGTAAAGTTTTGGTAAATTTGTGGAGTTCTCCTCTTTGCCCTTAGGATAGGAATGTCAATGGTTCATAGAGAAAGATTCAAGCTTCTGTTAGCAAAAACATGAACGATGTCATAGATATAGCATCTTCCTTTTTTCCTTGCCCATTTATTGCTGAGTTCTACATCCAACAACCTGCAACAATCTCAGCCCCGTGCATCTATTGACTTAGTTAGATCCTAGGGTGGAATTCAATGAATCGATCGATCGATTTCAATTTCACTTTTGGCTGCCTTCTTTCCTTCTGAGTTCCTTCTCCGCTCTACCCTCGCTATTCTGCCTGGAGGCTCCGCTCTACCTCGCTGCTGCCGTCCCCTCCACCCATCGATTTCTCTTCCCATCTGTCGCCTTTACGCCTAGATGCAGGGTAAGTATGCTTCTTCTTGCTGCTCAATTGATCAGCCAACAGGAGGGGAGGAAGAGAGAAATCCCACAGCTTAATTTTCTCAACCAATCATAAGAACTCTTACGTTTTAGAACTATGGATGATTACTTCTTTCACCCATTGTTTGAGTCTGCATAGCTTCACTCTTCTTTTCCTAAGTAAGTCTGTGTCACTGCCATTGCTTCCCATGGTTTCTATCTCTTAATATGTGCATGCCTTGGGTTATTGTTGGCATATGCTTCCCATATCGAGTTCTATGGGTTTAGTTATATACCTCAATTAATTGATGGAGTTTAGTTACTTTCGTTGAGGTTACAAACACGTATGCATTGTGTATTTCCAATGTGGTATAATAGGAATCGAGAAGGTTTAACATAAACTTATATTAATCAGAGGATCATTGCATTTGCCATGTATTTGTTAGAACTCTTAAATGACTGACCCAAGGTAGTTCTTTAGAGTTTCAAAGTGGAAATAGTTATGATCACATGCAATTATGCAAATATCATTGCGCAATGACTTGCCTTAGGTAGTTGAGAATTTCCACTTTAAATTGAAATGTGAAACCAATTAATCTAATACTTGACGCTCTACAGATGGTAATTAGCACAAGTTTACTTAAAATGTCTTATGAGAGACGATAGAGTATACGACCATTTAAGATATATGTCCTTTTGAACAATCACATTTAATTGATTGATAAAACCTCCAATAAGAACGTCCAATTGTTGGGCAAAAATTTGAGATGATTAACTGTTTTAGAACTATAAACTTGATAATTGTGGTACATTTTAAATTATAAAAGAAATTGTATTAAAATTGTGACCGTTTTCTTTATTTATAGCATTTTCATGAAACTTCGTTTTCAACATATAAATTCATTCATTTTTAACTTATTTCAATTATTAACTATGCATTTAAACAAAAATATACGGGGTAAATACTTTTAAAAATCTCAAAGTCCTCCATGAAGACAAAATAACATTTGTTTCTTAAGAAATTTATAAAACAAAAGTACTAACTATGACCGTTGAAATCAAACGGAAATAAAAATTTAATTTATTCTAATTCAATCTAATATCGTTCAATTAAATTTTCACCATTACCCGCTGCATAGCGTAAGTCAATTATCTAGTTGAACAAAATAAAGCAGAGAAGAAATACCGCAAATTGAAGCTTTCTAATATAAATGCTACACATAAGCATCTCCACGTATCTCATCTCTGTCTATTTGGGTTCCATAAACATGGCTCCTAACCATCTCATTTGGAGTTTCTCCTCCACAATTTTTGCCCTCGCTGTTGTCTTCCAATTTCTATCTGCCACCTCCTCTGTCGTTGGGTCCATGCTAGGAGATTAGGATGAGCATCCGAAATAATGTTGTTCGGTTCGAAATTTAGAAGAGAAATAAGCATAATTTGGAAATCAAAATTAAGAGGTTCATATGTTAGCCAATGAGTTTTTCCATACTGGTATCACATATGAGTTTTTCCGTACTGGTATACATACGATATCTTCACGGATATTAAATTAAGGAATCCTTTGAGGATGGACTTCTTCATCATTACTCTAAGATTTTAATAGCCAACATGTCCTAGACGAGCATGTCATAAGCTTGTCGTCTCATTCCTTCTTGTCTTGTCTTCTCAACATAAGGAGCTTCTTTCGACATTGCATAGACAGACTCCAGCTTCTACCCTTGCATGATGGGATTATAAGTTGGTTGTAATCTCCAATATACCTTCAAATCTTTGCGGCCGAATACTACATAATTGCTAGATGCTGTCATTTGTGATACTCACACCAGACTATTCCGCATTCCAAAGATATGGTAAACGTTTGACAATTCCACATGCTGATTGCCAAACCGTGGAGTAACCAGTTTCTCGCTGATGTGGGTGATTAACAGTTTAGAGTTGTTGGTGGTGACAACCACTCGTCTACATTTGTACTCAGACACGTTTAACAACTTATGTTCATCACTGATCATGTGATTTGAACATCCAAAATCCATGATCCAGTCATTTTCATAATAAATGAGATTCTCATCCACTGACATAAGTGCTAAGTTTTTCTTGGCGCCTTTTGGAGTTTCTGTTGCAAAATATGTTTAAAATTCCCATTCATCATCATTCACCTTGGAAGAAGTTGCAGTGTCGTCTTCTTCGTTTTTGTGCTAGCAATCTTTGGTAAGATGACCCTTCATGTATCAAATGTAGTAGTTGCCATTCTCTAGGTCATTCTCCTTCCTGTTTTTGTCACCACCCTTGTTATGGTGGTTGTAATTTTTCTAGGCTCCCCCTCGATATTTTTTTGTCTTTCTTGTTCCATTTATGGTTCTTTTAGAGCCACTTTTTGACCGTTTTTTTTATGCAAGAGCCTTTTCTCCGCTATTAGAGTCTTTACTTTTGCTGAGCAACATCTTCTCATCTTCCTTGATTGACACCTTTGATATGTTGTCAACGAGAATTTCTTCATTTTCTAGAAGATTCTGCAACTCAGCTTGGGTTGGCTCCTTTGACAAGCCTCTTGTTGCGATCACTATGCCCTTGAACTCCGATCTCAGGCCATGGAAGATAATTCTCCTTGTCCGAGCTTCTGAAACTGGATTATCAAGATCCAATTTTGAAAATTCGGCGCATATATTTTTTAACTTCTTTGTAGTATTGACCAATGGTCGATGTCCTTGGGATAGTGATATAAGCTCATTCACCAATCTTTGGAGTCTTGCCTCATTGGTTCTGGTGAAGATTGTAGAGAGAGTATCCCAAGTTTCCTTTGGGGATTTGCTTCCCTTGAAGTGAGGCAGGAATTGATCTTTTGTTGTGACTGCTAAGATGTACATGATCATGTCTGATTTTTGCTTCCAATCCTCTAACAACCTCTCATTGATTGGTGGTGGGATGGTGACAATTTCCCATAGCTTTTGGCCTCTAAGATAAAACTCCATACGTACGGGTGCTCCATCTTGAGTAGTTGGTCTCATTCAACTTCTCCATAGCAGTAACTAAGAAACCCTCCATCTTCTTACTTAATAACTTCTCCAAGTTCTCTATTTCAGTCTTACTGAAATAGTTGTAACCTTTGACCACCTGATGGGGATTTAATCACTACTGGCTCTTGGTTGAACCAGTTATGATAACACATCACAAGGAGCATTTTTCTGATGTTGAAGATCAGCTGAAGCAGCAATCACGGGGCATATGAAAATAACCTAGGCATCGATAACAACAAGGAACTCTTTTATGATGTAGAAGATCAGCCTAAGCCGTCACCACAATGCATACAAGGAATAACCTTGGCTTTTATACAACATGTAGAAATAATTGGATCGATATGCTCACAAGCTCTCTGATTTCTTCACTATCTCACAACTCACTATTGCTTAAGCACTCTTTCTTCTTCCTTTCTTCTACTTTTTTTGCTTTGCTTGGGATGAGAAATACACATACAATCCAAGGCTATTTATAGCCAAGTTCCAACACCAAATTGTCGCCTAAACTTGGCGACCATAAACGACCACCCAATAACTATTTAGCCCCACAAATATCTAACCATTTGTGGTTCTTACTTTTTTTCATTTTCTTAATCCCCACTAACTAATTTAATACAATTTCTAGATAACTCCACGCAATTCACAACTATAGCTAGTTGTGATATTATAGATAGATATTTTATTTATTTATTAAAATTTAATATCTTTCACTTAAAGTGTGGGGTAAAAAGCCAAGTGTGAGGTGTCTTATCATTGCACAAAATCGAGTTTTTGAAGAGATACAGTTGAGTTTTGGTGGGTTAGTCCTACAAGATGATGATGGTTCTTCCGTCGTCCTAAGTAAGACTTTCACCTGTGGATAGGATTACCACTTGAGGATGTTTTCAAGGACACAAATAAAGTTTCCGGCAGCCCTTGATTTCATTGACATTCCACACGATTAAGGATAAAAAGTTAAACGTAGACTCTTATACAAGTGCTAAGGGGTGAAATTGCTCTTACTCGATCCGGCTACCAAGTACCAAAGTATAAGGCAAAGTGAACCCACTTGAGCCACAAAAGTTCTAAAGGCTAGGCATGCATCACATGAAAAGAGAGAGCACCTAAAATCTCTTAGAAAAGACTGTCAGGAGGTAGGGATTCGCTTAAATGCTTAACCAAGCTACATATACTTCGCCCCATATCCTTATAAAGACCCGAGTCGAGGAAATGACTCAATCTCAAGCTTCAAAGCCATGGTCAAAGGTCTCTAAGTGCGAGGGTTGACCTTGTAAATTTCTATTGATCATACAATCACAAGTCACACATTTGATTAGATGAACCCTAGATGTATGATACTGATTTGGCTGAATGTTATGGATATCAATGTTTATGATCATTGATGCATCTTTGATTTATATTACAAGTGTTCTATAGTTGTGCACCTATTGTATGCTTTGATTGTTTCATATGTAATTATGTATGATGAGGAGAAGATCCCCATAGGTATGATATAATACTCTGAGATGAAAAGGATCCCGAACTGCTAGAAGATGGAGGAAGAGTGACTTTTGGATTATTAAAACCTAATAGAGAGATTCATAGATCGTTAATCATTAGGAAATTTAATTTAGATAAAAAATAATATCAAATTTGGATTGAATTGACTAATAAGGTGTTAATACGCTAGAAAATCGGGTAATACCCTGGAATTTTTACAGTCAAAGAAGATAACATCGAGTCTATATATATATATATATATATTCAATCGAAGCATAATGAATTAGCTAGAGGGATTTGAAGTCCGAACATCGCTTTCTCTCTTGAACTTGCCTTAAGGGGTCGTTTGGAAGTTGTGATTTCAAATGATGTATTGATCTAATTCATGTATTTGTGAGATTAAGTCGTTTTTTTTGTTTGTAGAACTAGAATACATGCATTTACTTTTTGGAGGTCCCACCACAATCCCTCAATATTGAGGGATTTACAATCTCTACTTTTTGTTGAGATTCTTCACAATCACTCAATATTAACTTTTTTACCTTTGGAACAAAAACACAATCTAAACCTCCAAACAAGATATTTACCTAATACATCAATTGATTCAATCCATCAAATCATAATACACTAATTGTCCCAATACATCAATTTGAAGAATCACAACTTCCAAACAATTAGTGTCTGTGAATTGCATGTGCTGAATTTCATTGCTTTTGTTTGTTGGTTTAGATAATGAAAAGAATTGATAAGAAATCGGTTAAGTAATAAGAAAAGTAGCTCATTACTAGTAGTTCATAGTCTCTATGGGAATACGACATTACTTGTCACTATATTGCTACTGATGATAGATACACTTGGTTTAGTTAGTCACATTTATATATTAAAAAAAAGCGACCATATTCTCCAAGATGTCATCCATTCTGAAAAAATATGCACACTCTAATACTCATTTTACGTAACGGTCGAGTTAGTTTCCATTCAGGTCCAAATGAAATAAACAGAAAATATCAGTGACCTCTATTGTAATTCACCCTAGATTCCTACTTCACATTAATTAAACTAACTAATCCTACTTAACCTGTCACAGGGTACACCTAATCACTCCATTAAACTATATTCATTCCAATTTCCATGTTCTCTAATCTCTACTCTAGCTATCGACGACAAATTGGAGTCTGGTGCGGGTTAGCCTCCCCAGATTCCTTCACCCCCACACTCCACTTTACCATTTGCATCTCTCTCTCTCACACGCGCTCTCCAAAAAACAAAGCAAAAAAGAAAGCAGGAAAAAAAGAAAAAAAAAAAACGAAAGCGAAAGCGAAAGAGAGAAGGTAAAGGTAGAATAGAACGGGAAATCAAACGAGCTTCTACACCTTCTCCTCCATCTCCCCCCAACGATTCTCAGTTATTGAGACAGAGGAGAGCTTACGGAGAAACCACACTAGCCTAATTCCCTTTCGCTCTCTGTACATACTATTCGTCTGCGTGCCCAGGAAAAGAGTTAAGAGGGGCTGTTGTCGAGGAAGCAAGCTGAGAGCGGAAATGGGAGGAATGACATCATCCATGGCTGCCAAATTCGCTTTCTTCCCTCCCAGCCCACCTTCCTACAAGCTGATCACCGATGAAGCCACTGGCCTTCTCCTCGTCGACCACTTCCCCCACCGGGAGAACGTCGACGTCCTCCGCCTCCCTACTCGCCGCGGGAATGAGATCGTCGCCGTCTATGTTCGGTACCCTATGGCTACCTCCACTCTGCTCTACTCCCATGGAAATGCCGCTGATATCGGCCAGATGTACGAGCTTTTCGTGGAATTGAGCATCCACCTGCGAGTTAATCTCATGGGGTAACTCTCCCTCGCCCTCCTCTTCCTTCAATTTCTAATTTCTTCTTTTTGCCCCCCTGGATCTTTCATCGAGTTTTAGGATGGAGTTGAATCAGAAACTCAATTCGAGAAGCTTTGTGTTTTTGTTTTTGCCTCATGTATGCCTGATTCTGAGTTGAGGACTAGCTTCATTTTGTGGTGGGCAGCTGATTGAACTCATCAACCGTGTCCTTTGTTTACTCGAGTGGGAATCGCCCGAGTTAGGTCAACATTAAATTGCGACACTCATATGTCGTTTCTCTGTGTCTTTTAGCAAGTTTCAACGCTAGTGTATGAATGGTATCCTTTGCTTGTGATTGTTGGTCTGCTTTGTGAGAGATGGTATGTGATCATGGGGGGATTTGGTGTTTCATGTTTTGGATTTTGTTGATTGTCTGCGAATCTATATTGCTAAGTGTACTATATGATGGTCAACAGATGTGTTACCTCATTGATTTTCCATATTTGGTTATGGTTTATTCTTGGATTGTCATCGGGCTGAAATAGAAAACTTCAGTAGGAAGTTCATATCTTTTCATTTTGGGTTGTACTGACAAATGGCAAACCAGTGTATTGCTTAAAAATTAAACGGAATCTCATTCAGAAATTGATAATTAATGGTTAAATATTCCGGATTGGTATTGCTAGCAAAATTGTGTTTTGGAGTTGGTGCCAGGCTACTAGTTTGGCTGCATATCTTCACTGCAGAAGTGGCATTGGAAGAAACATCTCTAGAACCGTTGTGGAACTTCAATGGACATGATTTGATGAATGATTATATAGATTCATCCGTTTTTTTTAAGGAATGATACTTCTTGTGGCTTTTTGGAACACTGGTTGTGAATGATGTGGGGCTAAATGAAGAGTGCTATGTCTGACAAGTAACTAACTGGCCGAAGGCATTTGTTAATTGCAATTCTTTTTTGGGGTCTCTGAAGCCTCTATAAGTATTAACCTCGCTGGTCCTGAATTCTGCTTGTCTTACTCATTCAGGTATGATTACTCTGGCTATGGACAGTCAACGGGAAAGGTAAGCATGGTGCTTATACTTCCCTTTGGACAATGATTTGTGTCACAAAATAGTAACATTTTTTAACTTGTGCTGTGGCTTTCTGCAGCCTAGTGAGCATAATACCTATGCTGATATCGAAGCTGCTTACAAGTGTCTTGAAGAAAACTATGGGGCCAAGCAGGAAAACATCATTCTTTATGGCCAATCTGTTGGGAGTGGCCCTACTCTTGATCTTGCTGCACGTCTACCACGACTAAGAGCTGTCGTCCTGCACAGTCCTATACTTTCTGGTTTGAGGGTCATGTATCCTGTGAAACGATCATATTGGTTTGACATCTATAAGGTAGGCATGTCTTTTGCATAAGCTGCTTGCAATATTTACAAAATTCTGCACAGCGAGGATTTGCGCCTTAACTTATCTATTTTACGTGGATGCTGAACAGAATATTGACAAAATCCCACTGGTGAAGTGCCCTGTACTAGTAATCCATGTAAGTCATTGGAAATTTAATTTCCTTGTGCGAGTTCTTCAACTACTGAAACGAATAGAAATATCTACCTTTTCTGAAAATAACAAGGAATTTTAGTTATTGTATATCAACATTCAAGCTTCCAAAGATGGTCAGAAGAGGGTTAATATTTAACCCGTAGCCCCAATCTGGAAGAGGGTCTCTGTAAGGAAATTTGGTTAAAGAATAGGAATGGCTAGGAAAGTGATATGGAAAGTTACAAGCATCAATATCTTCAAAGCAAAGCAAAAGTTTAACTGATTGATCTCCATAATAATGGCATATATTGATGTAATGAGTTATGGTGCAAGAAGAGTTCCTACAGAGGTTTCTCTATATGAATTGGTCTAGTATCCGAAGATTGACCTGGAATTTATAATCATCAAAATCAGGTGCAAGAAAGCATGGGAGATGGACTGGCTGGCACCACCTCTGCTCAATTGAACTCAGTTTCTTGTTCTTTTCTTTGTCTCTGATAATGATCGAACACTGTTACTGAGTATTGGCCTGGTTATCCGCTGTTAATTCTGTTTTACAGGGAACTGCTGATGAAGTAGTTGATTTTTCTCACGGGAAGCAGCTTTGGGAACTCTGCAAGGAGAAATATGAACCGTTATGGCTGAAGGGAGGAAATCACTGTGACCTGGAGTTGTTTCCAGAATACCTCAGACACCTAAAGAAATTCATCATCTCAGTTGAGAAATCACCTTCCCGGAGAAGCACTGCCAGGAAAAGCGTAGACGTGATGGAACAAGCCAGGAAGAGTACAGATCGCTACGACGTGTCAAGGAAGAGTACAGATAGGAGGGAGAAGCCCAGAAAAAGCACAGACCGTCCTGAGAAATTGAAATTCCACGAGTACAAGTTTACCAACATTGAGAAGGTGGACAGCAAGTTTAAGCTCCCTTTCGAACAGCTGGAAAGATCAAGGAGAAGCGTGGAGTACTATGAAAAACCGAGAAGGAGCATTGATCATCAGCTGGAGAAAGGAAGGAAAAGTGTGGATTGGTTGGATAGAATCAGAGTTGGATAATCCGTGGGGGAAAGACAAACAAAAAACCGGGGTTTGATATCGTCCTCGCTTGTAAAATTTGTTCAGGATCTGTTTCTGGGGGAAAGGTGACATCTAATCTGAAAGACTACATGAAGAAACGAGATAACAAGGAAAGAGAGCATGTGTGACATTTTTTTCCTTCCTTTTTTAACTTAAACGAGGGTGTCTGGCTGTGTGGTGAGGTGATTGTTGGAATGTGACGAGGATTTGTAAAGTTTGGTTCATGTTGCTCTGGGATTTGTTGTAACTGATAATCGGGAGTTTGGGATTGGTAAAAAGGAATGACAACGCTACTCTAGTCTAGTCTCGTAAGTTCTGTTCTGTTCTCTCCGAGTTCTTTTTTGTGTAATGTTGAGAATCTTAGTTCTGGTGTGTGTAACATCTCGACCAGTTGGCTAATGTTTAATTCGGAAATAAATTCGTGGGTTAGGTTCGAGGGGTTGGAT